GAGAGAGAGAGAGAGAGAGAGAGAGAGAGAGAGAGAGAGAGAGAGAGAGAGAGAGAGAGAGAGAGCACATACCTGGATGGCGTTGATTGGCGGCCATATTTGTGTGTGCATGAGATTTAGCTGTATAAGACTTTGAATTCCGAAGTGTTCTCATTGGATGTTGGCTTTCATCTCGAGCGTGGAGCTTGGTTTGGTGAGTTATGAATTCATTACGGTGTGGGAAGCTGTGTGAATTTGTGGGTTCATTGCACTGACCTGAATGAAGTCCATTAGCCCTTGAGCGAGTCCTCTTGCCTTCGCATAGCTTGCCACTTAGATCCCCCCCCCCCGGCCCCCTCCCCCAAAACAGATCTTTATGGCTCTGGCTCCTTTTCCATTCTGGGTAGCATCAGTGCAGTTGCTATTCCACCGGCAAGTCAAAGTACAAGATCCAATCACACTCAATGCTTCTCCCCTTTATGGTGGAGAGATCCGAGTGGGCGGCATTTGATTACTTCCGAACTGGAAGGATGTACCACCCCTCACCCCTGCCCAAGCTGGCCTACTGCACTGTACTGTTTCTCACTGCCACATGCCTATCCGTTCCTCCCGCTCCACTGAAGGGGCTCATACCAATGTTGCTACCTGCTCGCCTTTGTGCAATCTTGAGCCTCTTGCGGCTTAGATTTTAATGTGACATTGAAAGGAAATTGTTTATTCTATCACTTGTTGTCAGGAAACTAAAGCACCCTGCTGGTCTCTTTCTGAGATGATTCTTTGCGGAGAGTGAGCTGTGAGTTCAGGGGTGAGTTCCAGCTACGTGCAAGCGGAGATATTCAGTCTGAGTCACATTTGTCGGCCAAATGTGTGTCCTTGAATGTCTACTCAGTATGCTTTTTTGCTTTTTTTTTCTTTTCTTTTCTTTTTTTTGCTATTCGTTATACTAATAATTTTGGATGACATTTCAGTTCAGCATTCTGAAAAGGCTCTGACATTATGCTTGTTGGTGTGCTTGATTCTATGTATCTCTGTGGACTGCAGCAATGTGACAGGTCTTACGGGAGAGACGACTTCTCCACCTGCGAGCTTGGGGAACTTAACCGACCTTGCAGAGCTGTAAGATAAAATGCATGGAATGAGTAATGAGTCCTAAGCGTACTTGCACCGTGTGCCGTACCATGTGGTGCGCCGCATGGCGTGCGGCACAGCGCCTGCCCTTGCACCGTACCGGCAGCAGTTTCCCTTTTGTTTACACTGTTTTTGTATATACAGAAGAGTGCAACACCTAAGGAACATTTTTTTTTTAAGTACAGTCGTACAAATTTTTCACTCCGTCCTTTTAGGCACGAGAAATAGCTTCAAATAGGTGTCTGGGACATCAGTCTAGACCTTTAGGTAGCCACGATACTCTCCTAGTAGCGTTCCTGCCCCCGCCCCCCATCCCACAACAAATCTTCAACGGGGATGCAAGTGTGACCCAGCCATGCAACCCCTTCGTTTTTCTGAGTGAATATTTCCCCCATGCGCCGCACATACCATGCTCCGCACCATGCGGGTACTCTCGTGCGTCAAACGTGCAAAATTCTCCGCACGGCGTGCGCTTGCATGTATGGTCCTAAGGACTCTTGAAGCGTAGAATGAGAAAGCAGGAAATGAACAAGTCCAGTCCTCAATTCCTCTCACTCGCTCTTTTGTCGGTTTTTTTTTCACTCCCTCCTTTTTTGTTCAAGACTCTGTTTCGTATACATCACTATGAAAATCGCGAATCTAACAAATCTCGAATACGCACCCTTCGTGGTCCTAACGGGCCCATGGCACAGATCGTCGAACAAATTTAAGAATCTGGGATCCAGGTCATTGTGTCCTCCCGGGTCCACAGGGGGTGGATCGGTGTTAGATTTTGCATTCTTAAGATTGTGCATTTCCAGGCAGTTGTGTCGCACCAGACCAACAGCCGAGATTTTCTGGTGATCCTACAACCTTAAGATTGCTTCTCAGTCCTGGTTGTCGGCCCAGTCCCCCTTGACCAACGGCCCAGATGAGAATCTGGCCTCACTCAGTAACACGGCTAGCTCCTATGGGCCGAGCATCATTCTTGGACATGTTTCTGTCCTACATGCTCTTTCTCCTTTCTGTGTGAAAGAGAACATGTTGTCATGTGCCTGATTGAGACGAAATCCAGCATGGCATTCACATGTTCCCATACACATGCGCAATGACAAGGAGACTCGAGGAGAGCAATCCACACCAAGCCAGATGATGAGAATACACAGCGGAAGCTCACATACCAAATTAGAATTGAATTCAATCAATTCTGATTGGTACCGCCTCTCCCCAACTCAATCAGCCGTGCAAAATTCCAAGAGCCCAACCACGTTACAACACCCACAAGCAAATTGAAAAACAGAGTTTCATCGAACCATGTGGGAGACTTCTTCTTCCTCCCTCCTCCTCAAGCTTTAGCTATCGCGCCACTTCAACATTCAGCACCCAATCAGTCCAGCCTGCCTATCGCCAGATGACCCTCCGGAGTCCAACAATCAATTCTGCCCCGCTCATGAAACCAATCGCAGATGACATGTCCACTCAGCTGGGGAGTGCAGCTCCCAAGAGGATGAAGAAGAACACCAACTCGATGAAGATGAAGAGCGCTGCTACTTCGAAGACGACCAAAAGCTGCATTGATGGCAGCTGCCAAAACCCCATCAGCGCGCAGGGAGGAAAGCGCCCATCAGCGCTTCAGGCCTGAAGCCCAGTGCTGCATCCTATGGAGCTGGACGGCCCCAGGTATGGCTGCCAGCAACACGAAGAGGACGACGCTCTGTGCTGCTGGGAGCAAAACACGACCTCCAGCCTGAACGTGAAAAAAGAAAAATGAATAAGAGCCCATTCACAATCGGACCTCCCACTTTTGTAGACTTGGCACTCTACCAGACTGTTACTGACTCGGGACCTAGACCTAGGACAGCATGAGTAGACAGGCTACGAACAAAATAGTGGGAACCAGAATCTAGGTAGTCCCCAACACTTTTGAAAAATTAAAGGAAAGTCCCTCAACTGGACAAGGCCCAGGTCAGGTCCCAGATAGTCCCAATTCTAAAAAAAATACAAAACTATCCTACCTAGTGGTACAGCCTGCTGTTACCTGCAAGTTCATTGCAATGTGTTGTCATACGCTTACTTGCTTATGCTTGGATTGCCACACTCGCCATTCGTTCATTACACCAGAAAGTGCCCTCTCTCTCTCTCTCTCTGCCACATGCACTCGCGTACTCAGTGGAAGTTATCTTGGTCACTTTCTTGGTCTTTGTGACGACTCGATATCTGTTTGGGGCTTGGCAAGGAGTAGCCAACATCTTGAACGATCATGTCGAGCCTGGTCGCTCTGTGTGTGTGTGTGTGTGTGTGTGTGTGTGTGTGTGTGTGTG